GTCCATGTCCGACGCGGATTGGGCAAGTGATCCAACCACACGACGCTCGACGTCGGGTTACTGCTCCTTCCTTGGATCAACTCTTATATCTTGGAGCGTCAAAAAACAGCACACGGTGGCAAGATCTTCTACAGAAGCGGAGTACTGAGCTATTGCAGCAGCGACAGCCGACATTATATGGATTAGAAAACTACTTACAGACTTCCAAGTTCCATCAGTGCAGCCAACAATGCTTTATTGTGACAATATGTCAGCAATAGCCATTGCAAACAATCCGGTTCTACACGCCAGGACAAAACATATTGAGATAGATCACCATTTTGTACGTGATCACATTCAATCTCAACACATTCTACACATGCTGATCAGCACATTGGATCAAACTGCTGACATATTTACCAAACAGCTGTCGACAAAACGGTTCCAACAACTGAGATTCAAATTGACGGTTCAACCGGAACCATCCATTTGCGGTGAAGTATCAGAGCAACTCTCCACTACCACCTACACAAAGTCTGACAACAAACAAACACCTTGCTTAATCACCCTTAATCAATAACAAACCAAACAGCACATCCGCCATACATGTGGCAGGAAATCAGCTATATAATGAGCACAATTGTAAACAACAGTATTGAGGAATATATGATATTACATTTCATCATTGATTCACTGTTTCTCTTCTATTACTCTTTGTAACTTGCAGGTACTGCGGAGATTCCTCTCTGCATTTCTACAAAAGCTGCTTTAAGAAGCAGTAAGAAAGTCGTCCCAAACGAAGCCTAAGTATGAGCTTATTGGCAATTTTGACCTATCCATTGATGCGCGGGTGACATACGGATGTGAACTTGTCCACAGTAATCATCAATTGATTTATATATGTGAAATTTTTGGCCCTATAGAGTTGATCTTGATACCACAAGAGCTTTGAGCAAAAGCATTAGAAAGAAGCTGTGAGCAAAGTATAAAAAGGATAGGAGACAAGTAACACCCTTGCCGAAAACCACTCCTAGCTTGAATCCAATTTGAGCAATTGTCATTGATGATTAAAGAAAACTTTGGGTCTTCCACACACTCCATTATGAGTTTGGATATCTTTGTAGGAAAGTTAAAATACTCTAACACTTTCCTGAGAGAAGGCCAAGACATGGAATCATAAGTTGTATTAACTATTCTGAATGAGCATCCAGTTAATGTTTATTTGAAATCCTTTTCAAAATAGGCATTTTTTTATTTTGCTTCCATGGAAATGAGCACGTGAAGGGGAGCTATTTTAGAGAGTTATTTTAGAGAGCAAAATAGAGAAAATAAATCTTTATAAATATCTACTTAATAGAGAGTGATATATACTTAAAAGTTATTATAATGCATTTTATTGGCAAATAATCTCATGATAATAAGAAATTATAACAATGAAATTTGACAAAAAAAATATTTTCATAATTCAAAAATAAAATTTGATATTACCAAAAAAATACTAAGTGAGTCAAAATAGCAAAAGTCTTATATAGAGTCTATAAAGCTTATAAATAATATAATAAAATCCCATATACTCAAAATCGAACTATGAATATTTCACGACGATAGGAAATCTCTCATGAAAGCAAATGACATTGTTAAGAATTGGGGCTAGCTAGTGGGAGAAGATACGATTGAGATGGATGTGGTGACTCAAAGACAGTTTGTCAGTTGATGTTACAATCCACCTCAACATCCCTCCTCTACAGCAAACACTTCCATATCCCCACTACTACTAACTCCAACTTCTATCTCATCTCAACCACCCCGTCATGCATCCTCAACCAGCCAACCTTCACCACCTGTTATCTGTCCCACAGCTTCTCCTCTATCTAGTTCACCCACTACCGCAAGCTCCCATAATACCAGTCATTCCACACCTCCACCCTTACCAGATATCATTCCCAACCCACCTCAACATCAAATGCTCACTAGATTCAAAACTGGAACACTTAAACCGAAACAAATTTTCACTTTATCTGCCATTCATCTGTCCACAACTCCTCCTACAACCTTTGCCCAAGCCAACAAGGACCCCAACTGGCGGGCTGCCATGTCTACTGAATTTCATGCCTTACAAAATCAAGGGACATGGGAACTCACTCCTCTTCCTCCGCATCAACCTATCATAGGTTGCAAATGGATATATCGCCTCAAACTCAAATCAGATGGCACTATCGATCGTCACAAAGCAAGACTTGTGGCTCAAGGGTTCTCCCAACAATTTGGGATTAATTTTAATGAAACCTTCAGTCCAGTAGCTAAAATGCCAACGATCCGACTTCTACTCACATTAGCTCTTCATCACAATTGGTCCATACATCAATGTGATATTTCCAATGCCTTCCTTCATGGCCCTCACAAAGCAAGACTAGGTGATCTGATTCTTCCTGCGTCGTAATTTCCCGAGCGTGGGATGAATATCTTGCAAAAGAGATAGAAGACTTTGTGCGTGATGGTTTGTCGTGTGAGAAAAAATTCTAAAGTTCAAAATTTAAGGGCATAAATTTAACAGGTTTAATAATTCTCAGATGAGGAAAAATTCAATAGTTCAAAATTTAAGGACTTAAATTTGATGAGTTCAGAAGTAGAAGAAAACCCAATTGTTTCAATTGTCAAAAGATTAAAATCCGACAAATTTCAAAATAAAAGGTGAACTCGACTGTTACCATGATTAAGAGATTAGAACTTGGTGAGTTCAAGATAAAAGATGAACTTTATTGTCACAATGGTTAAGAAATTAAAATCCATACAAGTTCGGAATGAAAGGCGAGCTCGACTATTAACATAGTTGAGAGATTAAAGTTTGGCGAGTTCGGAATGAAAGACGAACTCGATTGGATGTGCTTCTTTAGTTTTTGAAGACGTGGTATATCTATAGTCGCTAGATGAAGGATAAAGAGAGGATCTTGCTAGAAATATGACTTTCCTCGCATTCCTTGAGTGCTTAAGGGGCCACGATGCTCTGCAATGAGTAATCTAATATTTTCTTTCAACTCAGACGCAGAGGGAGATATGACAATCACTCACTACACAGGTGATTGTGCTGGTTATACTAGGACGAGCAACTAGGTTAAAACAAATTTCACCTAATGAGGGCTCCTAGAGGAGTTTTTCAGAGCAAGGATCGAGAGTTCGTGCTCAGTATTCCGAGTTCCTTAAGCATTTTTAAAGGAAGGTTATGTTCGGACAGATGCCTTTGATTGTGATGTGTGTTAGTGCTGATTATTTTCATTTTGGAGTAGAGAACTAACTTTTATTTAGGAATAATATGCATATGCAGAAAGATTTGTCCTTTATGGGTAAAATATCTTGAGGTCATCTTTGCTCAAAGTTCAAAGCATTTTAGTTGCTGTGAAAAGTTTGACTTTTGATAATGTAGGGACCTTCCAAAGCGCATGCTAATTTCCCAAGTGATATGTGATAATTTACGGATCTTTTTCTTCAGTAGATTAAGGGTTCGTTTGGGACAGCTTTCTTATTGTTTCTTAAAGCAGCTTCTTTGTTTAAATATTATAATTTTTGTACTGAAAAGCTGCTTTAAGAAGCAGTAAGAAAGCCGTCCCAAACGAAGCCTAAGTATGAGCTTATTGGCAGTTTTGACCTATCCATTGATGCGTGAGTGACATACGGATGCGAACTTGTCCACAGTAATCATCAATTGATTTATAACAATAAATATTAACTATTCTGAATGAGCATCCAATTACTGTTTATTTCATATCCTTTTTCAAAATAAGCATTTCTTTATTTTGCTTCCATGGAAATGAGCAAATGAAGGGGGAGCTATTTTGAGAGCTATTTTAAAGAGCGAAAAAGAGAGAATAAATCTTTATAAATATCTACTTAATAGAGAGTGATATATACTCAAAAGTTATAATAATGCATTTTATTGGCAAATTATCTCATGATAGCAAGAGATTATTACAATGAAATTTGACAAAAAAAATATATTTTCAAAATTAAAAAATAAAATTAGATATTACCAAAAAACTGATATGTCAAGCTCAAAATATCAAGTCTCATATAGAATCTATCAACCTTATAAATAATATAATATAATCCCATATACTCAAAATCAAACTATGAATATTTCAAGACCATAAGAAATCTCTCATGAAAGCAAATGACATTGTTAAGAATTGGGGCTAGCTAGTGGGAGAAGATACAAGAGAGATGGATGTGGTGACTCAAAGACAGAGTTTGTCAGTTGATGTTACAGCGACATACACTCGGTGGATGTTAGACGGTTTTCGGTTCTCTCGGCACTCAATCAAAAGATAGGAGAAGGAAAACATCAAAGTGCTAGTGAAGCTTGATAAAGAAAATTAAGGCACAATGAGAGAGGCAAAGAATGTTTGGGAAGATTATTGTGATGGTTTAAAATGCTATGAATAACAGCGGTTTAAACCACATGCTAAAGTACTCAACAGTGGTAGTTTGAAAATTAATGTTATTATTAAGTAGTGCTGGAAAAACCATTCTTAATAGGTTATGTATATATATACAAAATTGTTTGAATAAATTTAAATTTTCCACAATTTATTCTAATTCTAATGTAGTTGTCCCGAATTTTGATCCACTTGAATGCGCACGTATTGTTTTATTAAATTAGCTCAAATTTTTATAAATAAATTAAAAAAAATCCAATCCATCATGTATAAGTCAGCTTTTAATGGAGTAATTATAAAATATTAAGATAATTACTTTTAAATCCACAGCTCAGTCAATTTCCTATCTTCCCGAGACGGAGATCCAGTCCCGTGACAATTCAATTTGAATAAACCCGGCCAGCTCGGACACTTCCACGGTTCAAACGATAATCTAAGAAAATAATTTGGGACAGTTTTTTTTTTTTTTTTTTTAAATAAGTTTAGTAATAAAACTTTCTCAACCGATCTCCCCGCCCCATCCGCCACGTCGCTCTCGCATTCACGCAGCTCGCCACGAATTGTCACAATTTTCCCTAAGAAAAAAAAAAGCAGATGATGCATATTTAATTTCTTATTAATATGCAACTATATTCAATTAGTTTTAATTTATTCTAAAATTATATATTCTGACAGAAAAGAAAATTTTATTTTACTGCATGAGCAGCCAACCGTCTCTTTGAAAACATTACTTTGCATTTTTTTTTTTTGGGAAATTTTATTACTTTGCATTTTGATCAAACGAAAATTACGTGATAAATATCTATACGGAGAAAAGTGGGACCCGCATGTAGCTGGCCGGACCCGGAGACCCTCCGTCGACGGGTCCGGTGACGGGGGAGGAAGCCGACACCTTTTCAAATGACGAAGAGGGATACGAGTGCACAAAATCCTCAAACCCCATCCCTTCCTTCACCGCCGACGAGCCATCGTACAATTCCGCCGGCGGTGGAGCCGGAACATTCGGCACCTCCGTCGTATCTGCACCATCAAGGTACCGCGCGACCTCCCTCATCGTCGGCCGCGCTGCCGGAATGGGCTGGGAGCATAAAAGTCCTACCTTTATCGCAACCTCCACCTCCTCCATTTCATAACGGCCTTCGAGCATAGGATCGACAACATCCCGCCACTGCTTCTCACTCCACTTCTCCCAAACCCAGTCCACAAGAATAAGCTCCTCGGGCGAAGCCTTCGGCTCTATAGGCCTTCGCCCGCAAACCACCTCAAGCACCAAAGCTCCGAACGCGAACGCGTCGGAGCTCGCCGTCGCTTTCCCTGTCCTCGTTAACTCCGGCGCGAGGTATCCGAGCGTCCCAACAACCCTCGTCGTGCTCGGATTTGCACCGTGCTCGTGCAGCTTAGCGAGGCCGAAGTCTCCTAGCCGGCCGTTAAAGTCGGCGTCGAGGAGAACATTACTTGCCTTGATATCGCGGTGGATGACCACGCTTTCCCATTCTTCGTGAAGGTATAGAAGTGCCGAAGCCACGCCGCGTAGAATACGGAACCGGTCGTTCCACGTCAACACCGGCCGCGGTGGCGCAGCCGCAGAGGACTGGAAGAGGAAGTGGTCGAGGCTGCCGTTGGGCATGTAGTCATAGACGAGGAGGAGATCGCTTTTATACCGGCACCAGCCTTGGAGCTGGACGAGGTTTCGGTGTCGGAGTCGGCCAATACTGGCGATTTCCGCTACGAATTCACGGATCCCCTGTTTTGAATCGTGGGATATTCGTTTAACAGCGATGTCGGCACCGGAGGAAGAAAGGACGCCTTTGTAAACTTTACCAAAGCCGCCGGCGCCCAGGAGTTCGCGGTCGCGGAAGCCTTTCGTTGCTCGCCGGAGGGATTTGTAAGTGAATCGATGCGGGCCGTACTCAAGCTCCCATGGTTCGATTATCTCTCTGTTTTTGTAACGATAAAAACCGTAAGAAGCTACTGCAGCTGCGATGAGGACGAAGATAATGACGGAGAGGGAAACCGAAACAGCGATAAAAGTGGGACTTTTTTTGTCGGAGGGTCGAGGGAGAGAAGGGAGAGAAGAAAGATCGAGGGATGCGGCAACGCCGTTCATCTTAAAGCTCCATCCGAAAAGGTAATGCGAGCTTGCAAGCAATCCAGTTGAAGCTGAGAAGCCGACATACATTTCGTTTTGAAGAACCGGCGCGAGATCGATGGGGAAGGAAAAAAGAGGGGTTTTTGGTTTGGATGAGAAAGGGGAGAGTGTGACATTGAGAAGTTTAGCTTTGCCGTCGTAGTCAATCCAGGATTGGATTGTGTCGCCGCTTTTGAGATTGAGGGGAATCGGTTGGCCGCCGGAGTCGTAGTACGAAGCGGCGGCGGATTTGGATGAGACGAGGCTGTTGACGTCGACGCCAACATGGTTGTCGTTGATGTCGAAGAATTCGAAGTCTTGCACGGTGTCGAACTCGACGGCGAAGACATGGTTAGTGGCGTTGCCGTTGTCAGAGGAGTTGAGGAGGCCGAGGTATTGGCTCGGTTGAGCTCCCGCAAGCTTTTGAGTTGTTGCGAGAACGAAAGCGAAGCCGTGACCGCCGAGCTTCGGATATTCCGGTACGATGGCAAAGGCGAAGGCCGTGGAGAAAGAAGCTACTCTCCCGCCACCGACGTCGGCGGCGGAGGAATTTTTGAAGAGTAGGGGATGAGGGTAGAAGACGCGGCCGATCAGGCGGCTGGTTTCATTAGTAAGTCGCAGGATACCGTTATTGTCGATCTCAGCTACGCCGTTTAGGCTTACGTTGTTGGATCCGCCGCCACCGCTGCTTACGTTGTTGGATCCGCCACCACCGCCAGCGGTGGTAGCCGAGAAACCGGTGAAGATGAACTCGTTGTGTTGGGAGGACGCAAGGGGTAGGATAGAGAGGAAGAGAAGTTTGAGAAAGAACAGATTTTCAGACATGGGGGAAAGGAGTGGAAGTTCGCGGAGATGGAGGAGATGCAAGCTGGCGAAGTTTTGGGGATTCTTGTAGAGAACACGGAGAGGACGCAATAGTCTTCCTGTTGATGTCGTCTTCTCCAAGATAAGATTTAGATTTTTTTTTTTTTTTTTTGGGAAAAAGATTTAGATTTTTGAAGTTGATTTGATCTAGGAATTGAAAGTTTTATTTTATATTCTAAAAAAAAAAATGCTGATTTTATTTAACTATGTAACTGAATTTATATGTAGGATCATTTAGCTTTAGTAAGGTCGGATCAGATATAGAATAGAAGAAAAAAAAAGAAGTTTAACGTTTAATGATTCTAAAGAGGGTTGAATGGAGGTTTAATTAGGGCTTTTCGTTTTTGCTCTGCTAGGATTTTTTCATGTCGCGCCGCTATTTTCCTTTGTTCCGCCCTTCTGACGGCGGAGGGATCCCACCCCATGGATCCCTCCCTCTCCAATGCCACTTTTTAGCCTCTCCACTATGCTAACCACTCACCTCATAGTATGCAATCTGATCCCACGTTGGTCCCTTCGCAAAATCCTTTCCCTTGGACTTGAATCTTAGTCGACAACCGCAACCCTAGCAAATTTGCTATCTCTGTTCTCTCGACTCCGGAAAAATTATCACATTCTCGCATGAGGATGTTGTTGATGCTTCTCTTAAATGGAACCAAGTGTTGGTGGGATACTCTCTCGGTAAGAGGTCATACTATGGTTCTTTACTAACTGCGGTAAATAAGGTATGGAAGCTTAAAGGTGTCTCAAAATGATCGCACTTAGCGAAGGTTTCTTTATGTTTAAGTTTTCTTCTGTCGAAGATTTTGATTATGTCTGGATTAAATGGGCTTGATTTTTACTGGATAAACCTTTCATATTGCAAAAGTGGTCGTCTCTGTTTAGCCCTAAGTGGGAGGAGTTCACCTCGGTCCCGATCTGGATCAAAATTCACAATCTACCTTTATGTTGTTAGACTCCTACTGGAATCTCTAAAATCGCGACCAAAATAGGAATCTTGCTAGCTATCGGGGAACTTACGGTTGCAAAATCTCGTCTAAATTACATAATGGTATGCGTGTAGGTTGATTCGGCCACCACATACCCGGACTCTGTTCCAATTTTGATAGAAGGAAAAGTTTTCAATATGAAAATTCAATAGGAATGGAAACCTCTGCCTTGTGAATGTTATTCTTCATTGATTCATTCGGCTTCCGAATGCCCAAAAAACCCAAACGCTCAATCTCATCCCAAATACTACATAACCCCTCCTGTGGACGCAACTCTAGTCACAAACCCAGAAAAGACTCTACGGTTCATAGGGGGATTCTTCCCACTCCGAGTGATGACTCTTTATAGATTATTAAAAGTCATATGTAATGATAATTAATTTACTGAATAAATGATAAGTGTGATGGATATGACTAATTACCAACTGGTAAATAGTTGGTGTTAAATGTGTTGAAAACACAACATTAAAGCTGAATGACATGTCTTGCTAAACTATACATATGATATTTATATCATATAACTAATTAATGCATTTCTTATTCATGTTCATATGCATACAATTTTATATTTTTATAGATTATAACTACTGATACATAACATACTTATATTACTCATATATGTTCCTGATTCACCTCCCTGACATAATGACAAAATTGAATAATTATAGTACCAATGTGTTGTTCCCTATTGCATTAATTTATTGATTACTGATGCATTTGCATTTTGACACCAATTATTGATTTATGAATTTGAGCGTAATGATTCCTAATTTTCGTATTGGTTATATTGATTTGTACTATTGATAATTTATCGTTAATAATATTAAAAGTTATTGATTCTATTGATTCTATTGATTAAGATGAGGATGCATATTTATTTATGGTTCTTCCATTGAAAGTTTTGGTGAGTTTTAGATTTTTACTAGGCTTTGTAAGATCATTATGTGATTTTATTGATTTTCAGTCAGGAAAGGAATTAGGACACTATGGAATGAGGTTGATTAAGATATCCAGGTTTCTCCTTTTGTTAGTATTGTATTTTTTTAATTTTTTTATAGTTAGGAGTTGAGATTGATTATTGATTGTAATAATATTATGGTTATTGTAAATAAGATTTTGAGAAATGAATATAATTTTATATTTTTGATGTATATGATATATAATTTACTTATATTGGATATATTGATTTATATTGATGATACATAGAAGCTCTAATAAATTATTAAAATATAAAATAAATAATTATTCTAATTTTGATCTTAGGGCCTGACATCGCCTCTCAATTAGAACTCAAAATATATTATTTATATATTTTCATCGATATATTAATTAAGCATATTTTATAGTAAGTACTTATTGATTACTATCATATAGTATTACTAGCAGCATTTTCTTATAGAATTATATTTCAGCCTAGGCCTATAAATAGATGCTTAGAGACTTAGAGGGTTAATATGATACATTTTATCTTTGACTCAAGATGATAAACCCTTGCCATGTGAGGAGCTAAGGTGAACATACAAAATTTTAAGTCTACCAAAGAGCTCCATAAAGGTGAGAATTCTAAAAGAAAATAGCAAAAAAATATGGGAATAACATATAAATGTGTAAGGAAAATGGGGAGTTTTTTTTTTTTTTCTCATATCATATTTATCATTTCTATATAGCACCTTTCTAATAACTTTTCTTATGTCACCAATAATTCACTAACACTTAGCCACTCAAACATTAAAATCTTAAAAAACCCGAAAATAATTTTAATATACATAAAATTGCTATTATTTGTTCAAACCCCAATTTTACAATGTTTGATTCTACCATTCATACTTTGTGATAACTATAGTAGGGGTCCATCTCAAAAAAAGATTAAACCATATAGTTTGTTGATAAGTGTGTTGACTGCCATGATTAAGATGTAGTTGGAGACTATTGCGTGATTAAGTGCCCTTTAGTCAACACCAAAGTACTATATGACATTATTTTTAAATGAGAATAGTATAGATAGAAAATTAGCTCATCCTCAGGAGAATGAAATTTTATACAAGCCATTCACACACCATGGATTTGATGGCAGGATTCTAGAGTTGGGAGTAAGAGTATGGCTTGATGTGAATTAGTGTTATAACAAGTTTTGAACAAATATTGTGATCTTCCAGTCATTTTGGGTGTAGTTGGTTGGTGGGTGAAATAAGGCAAAAAATGAGTTGAGGAGATTAATGATGGGAGATGATGTTCGATATGACTTTGGGGAGAACCTTTGGTCTAAGTGTCAACAAGGTTAATTGGAATAATGAAGTGAAAACACCCAAAGTTTGTGCTTTTTATTTATTTGTTTATGTATGCAAATTTGTTCAATCGAATGAGTGTGCATACCTTGTAGTTTAATTGAGTTGATTTGGAAGTTAAATTTCATAGATAAAGTGTTATAGTTTATAGTGACATCGCCCAATGATTGAACCCACTAAACAACAATAACTATGTCAACACATTGGATTAGTAAAATGTAGAGGTGAATTGAAACTAGGTAGTGTTTAAGGTGAGAAGAATGTCCATGCATTTGTGTTGCATTATAATTTATTGTTATTGCCCACTAAAACATGGAATAGATGTGTTAGTGTAATTAGAGATTATAAGCATTCAACCAAGCAATTTTGAACAAAGATATGACTAGAGCCTCCACCGATGAGCCCTTGCAAGGATGTTTGGCGTATGTGAGATATTAAACAATTATATGGCTTCTGACAACAAGGGCATGCATCATGCTAGAGCTCTGTCATGTTAGCTAGAGTTGGTGGTTGTATTTCGTCTGGAGAATGGTCAATCCATTGGGTATTATCATCAAAGATCATTAAGGTAAACATATTTCTCTTACACATGTGATAGTAGAATATCCAATTCAAAATAGCACTATAAAAGAACTTGTCGATGCACGTGATTTGATTGAAGAGTTTTCAAATTGGAGTTGGTGTTTAGGGAGATTGATGATTTTTGTGTTTGGTTAATTTTTCATGAAGATTGTGATATTTAAAGGATCCAAAGTGGGTGCATAGGGTAATAATGAAGGCTTCCTATGATTGTTGTCAGATGATTTTAAAGAGTCATAGGAATAATTCTTCAACCAGACCATAAAGATGGAGTGAATTTAGTGCTAACTTATCTTCATTAAAGACTTTATAGAAAGAATTGTGTTGGACTTTTTTTTTAAATACATGGTTTATGATTTCCATTAAATGAGTGGGGGATTAAATTCTCGTCATTTCAAATAGATTTATACTCATGGGAACGTTTGTTAGAGTCGACGAAGATCATGAGAATTCTTGATGTAAAAAAGGTGATTGTAGTTGCTGAAGTGTCATTTCTAACATTGTTAGCCATATCTAGAAGTCGTGCACCATGTCGACGATAGATTGTACATGTTCCTCAATTGTTGGGTTAACGTTGTGACTTTGCCTTCAATTGTCTGTTGTCTAATATGTTTTTGTTGGATGGAAAGAAGTAATGTTGTGATGCTGGGAATACTCGACAAGAGAACAACAAATGATGAGCCCTTGTCAGTGAAGACCAGAGAAGCCAATGAGGAAATCTTTGTGCCATACAGGTTCCTTTCTCATCTTTGATATTACCTGCCTGAAGCTGTAGCTTGATTGATTGTCATTGACTGTAATCGCAATATAAAATTGATACTTTCCGTCAATATAATAAAAGTTTTAAGCTTCGCCTTCTAAAATTTATTTCTCTCACCTTTTCTATTTTTATTATTCATTCTTCTCGTTAGTCTCATAGTAACCCCAAACAAATGTGAATCCAATAATGGCATTAGTATTTTGCTTACTATTATTTGATTTTGATATTAATATACCTTCTATTATTAATGTTACACATAAAATGAAATCCACCAATAACATTAAAGAATACAAAATAAAAAATATTATCTTTCCAAAATATTCTCTCCTGTTTGTAACTATATATAACATAGGTGTGAAAATGTGAAAATTTAGAAGCAAGTTGAGCCACTTTAAGACGAGATTGGGGGACCAACGTGAGGCAAAGAGTCCAAAGCCCTTTGACAAATGTCAGCTCTGAGCATTTTTTTTTTTTTTATGCC